CATACAAAATGCTTATATATGTATGTTTAGCTCTCTGCAAGTCATCTAAGAGTCTTCAGTAAAATTATTGATAAATAGCTATTTTCATAAAATATATTAAATAATCAATTTATGTAGATATTAGTAGCCTACTTGTAAATATCAATTTTATGCAGAATGATTATTGATCAAAGTTGGTAGCTAAGTAATGACAATGGAAAAGATATTCACCCCAAAACTCAAAGAATTGTATCCACTATAACTTTTATCTAAAGCACAGATGTTTAAATATTTATGTATCAGCAAAGGTTGTAGAAAAGTATAGTTAGTCTTTATCTAGAAAATATGGATGTTGTGCCCATTCATTTTCCTGTTGAAGATTGACCCTGAGGTTCTGGTGCCTATCAACTTTCGGCCACCCCTCAGTTTACATTGGTTACTGCCTGGGCACCCTTATAAAAAAATGTCTGGCTACGCCTCTGCTGTGGTCTGATGAGAAAATCCAATTACCCAAACAGTCACTGACATTTTAGCACGTCACGTGCGCCCACGAGATCAAAGAGGGACAAAAAAAAAAAAAAACAATACGATCCACTGCAGCCATTCGTTTCATTTTTATTTCTCATTTCTTAGCTTATAGCACATTTTAAGCAGCCCTGCGCTGGATTCAGTGATTTCTGCTACTTGCGTAACATAACCGCGGTGGCGCGTCTGCCCCTCCTTGTTCCTGTGAAGCAGCTGCGCCACCCCACCCTCCCCCTCCCTCCCTCCTCCCGTCATTCTGCACAGACAGCCGAGCTGAACGCATCATGTCTACGAGACGCAGTGTAAAGAAAAACACCTCAACACTGGAATGATCCGACCCGGTTATCCTCTGCTGGACCTGGATCAGGACCTGCGCTAAAAAAAACCACCTCATCCATCAGCTCTGCGGTGATTTGAGCGGAGGATCCTCTTCTGCAGCTCCAGTCTCTCCTCTTCCTGCAGACCCCCCGGTGTGCACAGCCCTCTCATCACACGGAGAAAAACCTTTTTACACTGAAAAAACCCCACCAAACCGGTTCTGTGGGGCAGCAGTGGGCGCTTATATAGAAGCAGGGACGTAAAGAAGAGAATGGAGGCCCTGCTGCCTTTGCTGAAGAGCCACCCGGGCCCCTCGGTTCTGGTCTGCTCTCTGCTTTTCAGGGTGGCCCACCAGCTGCTGCAGAGGCTGCCCGTCCCTAAGGTGGTGCAGCAGGACGCCTTCCGTTCCTGGAAGTGGAAGAACCTGTCAGTGTCCATGGTGCACTCCCTGCTCACTGGGACATGGGCCCTGACCTGGTGAGTGTCCATCCAGGGCAGACAGCTGCCTCACCAATCTATGCGTCCATTTCACACTGGGGTGGCATTGTCTATTCACGGTTCACATGATATTCGATGTGTGGGAGAATGTGTGTGTGCAGCAGTGACAGCCTGTGGTAGCCAGGAGAAGATGAGGGCATGTCCAGACTGAGCGAGGGATGGGGGAGAGACAATGGCATTCTTAGGAGGGGAGGGACATGCCTGTGTACAGTGGGAGACACAGAGCTCTGCTGCTTTTGCTCGATTATTCAACAGCTAAGCACTTTTTCCCTCACATCTGAGCCACAAACAGAAAGACGAAAAATATCAACAGGAAAAACCTGCTGGCTTATTGTGAAAGCATTTAAAAAAAAACGTTTTTTTTTTTTCAGATCATGCACATGACTCATCTTTTGACATGAGGAGATGGTAGTAAGGCTCATGCATTCAAATCCCTCTATGATTTTAGGTAACTCTGAATCAGGTTTGTGAAGGAAGAAATGAATCAGTAATACACGGCACAATACGCCACCGGTCTTTCACTGTGGCATGTTTACACAGGGAGGCACTCCCAGAAAACCCTGAATTATTAGGTGTGTGTGAAATAAAATGAAAGCAGAGGTAATCTTTATCACTCACAAGATAGTATCTGTTACAATGATCAAATGACATCTCTCAAAAGTGTAGGGAACCTGCTCACATACAAGACTTTCCAAAGAGAATTGGAGAAACTTTGTGAGGCACAGTGGGGGAAATATTGCAAAGTCATGCTGTGGGATCTTACAAACATGTATGAAAGAAAACAAGATCCTGAGACCGGATCAAACTATGAGCTCTTTTTTTTTTTTATATATATTTTCTCAGGTATATTCAATTATTTTTCAGGTAAATTGTGAAGTAATAATCTTAGAGTGTGAGAATATTGCAGATATAATTATAGTTTTTTGTTTCGTTTTCTTTGCTACTAACTAATTGGTGTGTGCAGTTCTATGAGCCACCACACCTATAACGCATCTGCTAAAAGCAATCATGTCTGGTGGTTGGGGGATGTTTTAAAGGGCATTACTTACTGATATCTCTTAATGAGGCAGTGTTTGTCTGACTCTGGTGAATATTCAGGGCGATTAATCCATAATGTGTATCCTTCTCTACAGTGTGGTGATCTGGCCTGAGACGCTTAGCAACATCCATAAGTTTCACACCCCTTTGTCCTACGTGCTCATCTGCGTCTCCACAGGTCAGTACACACAGATCTGTTATTTTTTTACAAATTTGACAATGATGTCACAGAACAGTTGTGTGCAGCATATAACTGTGTGGCGAAAAAGAATTGATTTGCATAATTTTCTAAAATCGGTAAATAATAATAAAACCAATAAAAAATTAAAGATTATGACTTTGTTACCCCTCAATAAAAAAGGTGTAAATAGTTGTCTTTAGGTTTGACCTTATTGGGATAAACAGTGAATGTATTAATCCAGCTGCTTCCTGAAAGCCTCAGAAGTTTGGAGATCCGTCTTCTAGCAGGAAATTATATATACATACTATGTTACTGAAAAAAAACATCTTCAAATATAACCATAAAAGCATTCTAAGAGCGCAGAACTACGGCAAGTAGCTCATTTCCACCCACATGTTGTGACTTCCAACTTAAGTTAATACCTGTATTCATAGAATCTTTCAAAAAATTTCCTGGATTCAGATGTTGATCTAGATCATCACCAAAACTCAATATGTTATCATTAGTTGCCAATAATAATATGCACATTCTCTGAAAATGTCTGCAAAATACGACCATAGTCATTTTTGTTATTTAGAAGACAGATAAACAGACAAACCAATGCAGATGAAAACATATCATCCTTGGCAGATGTAACAATATAGGCCAGGTGTTCTTCCTGATAGTGTTTATTTGCTCATTTTTTGGCCTAAAAAGAATTTTTGCGCTGCCGGTATCAGCAGAGATAAATATTGCTGTACACTGTCGGTATCTTGCAGTACCTTATGATACATCCATCAATTTGGTAGCTTCTGCACATTTAGCTCCCATTTTAGTGAATATGAATGTTTGTATTGTATTTCAAGTGCTAATCATCTTGTATTCCTGTTGGAGTTCGGTATTTTTTTAGCTTTTTCTACACGTGATCTTGGATTTTTACCTTTTTTTTTTTTTTTTTTTTTGAGTACCCACTGGGTAAAAGCTGGCTTGCTTGTCTCCCTTACTTTCCCCTTTACTCATTGGCACATGCGCTGTCATTCCTCTGGTCACATGGGCTTAAACCACATATAAGTTTGCTAACAAATAGTGCAAAAAGAAACTATTTTGTAAAGCTACAGTATGTGACTTGTCCCCTTTAACACATATGGCATCTCATATGAGTCTGGCATCAATCGAGACCTATTTTCCAATCACGAACCTTTTGCAAAACTATAAAATCCATTATTAATGACCCTGATCTCGTGTTTTTATAAAGCTGGAGGAGAGCTACCTTAAAACACTTTCAGTTGTAATTTGCGACTATCAGTTTCGCTTGTTAATTCGGATTTTAGTTCTGGGAACCAAATATCATTTTCCTTCTGCACATCTTACCGTTATGGGACACTATGTTGATCTTTCACATAAATTATGAACTAAATACTGCGAAGCTTGTGGATGCGATGCAGAATGTTTAAATATTCAAGAAGTATGGAAACTTTAGCAAGCCTTTACAGCCAGAGAAGCATTATTTATTTTGATTTTAGTGTTCATACAAAAAAAAAAAGGTTTTGGCTTTAAATAGTTACGTATAAGGAGTTATCGTACCTACATGCTGTTGTGTGACAGTGTTGGAGGTTTAATCGTACCTCTTTTATTCAACAGTCTACTCCTATTGTATAATTAAGTCACTCTCTGTTGTTCAAAGCTGTC